GGGCACCTGGTGCAGGCCACTGTTGGTAGACAGGATACTGGGCTAGATGGACTTTTGGTCTGACCCAGTATGGCCGTTCTTATGTTCTTAAGTCAAAGATTTGTGGGTACTCAGCTCTCTGAAAAGCAGGCCATTCATTGAAGTTAATCAGAATATTCATCATGTGTCAAGTTAAAACACATCTCTACCTCTTTATAGACCAGGGCCCTATTTTACTAAACATGGGTTTAAATATCTAGTCTTGTGGTTTTTCACTGCAGTGTGGTCATGTGAAGGCCAGTTAACATCAGCTGTTTGCTCTCACAGAATGAATTTTGAAAGATCAGAATTTCTGTGCTTAGCTCTAGACACCCAAGTTTAAATCCATTAGCTATATATTTTAAGTTGTGAATGTTGCAGTGTTTTCTTGTTGGCAAAGCAAGCAGTGTGATATTACATGTAGATGATGGAGTAGCATGCAGTATGTGATTAAGAAAATTTGCTTTTAAATAACAGGAGCTAAAAACACAGCAAAAGACACAAAGATTTAGTAGATGATTCAAAGGAAACCTTAATCTGTTAGGATCCAAATTGCATCTGATCATCTGCAGCCTGTTACACACAACCAGGGAAAGGTCAAAAGGAGCCTTCTTGTGCACAAAACAAATAAACAATTGCAGTTCACCCTTTAAGGATGACTCCTGCAGGCTTTCACTGAACAAGGCACACTCTGAGCCTAAGCACAGAACTGGCCCTAAAGTCAGGGAAATGTTAAAAGTGGAACAGGAAAAAAACCACCTTTGATTTTAATTGTATAGCCAAAGAGGCTGAGCAACACTTCAGTGAAATCAACAAAGGAGTCTAAAAGCCTGGGCTTGCACCCATGAAGCTGAGGAAAAACTGTGTGTGACCTGTATAATGAAATCTGTATCTTGAGAAGTGATGACTGTTGGCTCCATAAAATGAGATGTGTTCATAGTAGCAAATATTATTGCCATAACTTAAAATTTTGTACTCTGGGATCTTTCCATAAATAGGTTTAATCTGGATTCAAGGGGTATGGGAGGGTTTTTGTTTGTTTTGTATATGTGCAGAAGTATGATTAATTGCCACTGAACTTTTTATATGTTATAATAATTCTTCAAAGTCTATAACACTGTAATTAGATGTCTTCAATTTTTCAAAATGTATTCTATCTGTCTGTGACAGACATCTCAGTTTATTGTTATGTCAGACAAAAACACATTCATAATGTTATTGTGTGCCCTCTGGCATTATTTATATACTAAAAATTCAAAAGGAGTTGTCACACCATTGTCAGATATTTTATGGTATCTCCAACATCATCTACATTTAGGTCATTTTCTTTTCAGTGGTTTAAACTTGAATACTCCAAGTGATACAAAGTGCAAATTATCCCAATGTTGCACAAGCATATTTGGTGCAAAAATTGAGGAATAAAAATATACTTTCTATAGATTCCTCATGTCCTGAGCCAAAATTTACTCATGAGTAATCCTATTGACCTCACTTTATGACTTCTATAATTCTGATGCAGTAAGGAAGCCCTGCACACATGTAAAATGATGGGTATCACTCTCCAATATTGGTCTGAATTATCTGCAAGCTTTTAGGTCCTAATCCTGCAATCACATATGCAGTTGAGTAACTTTCTGGATGTGAGTACTCCCACTGAATTCAATGGGACTATAGCTGTGTGTAAAATGGATCCCATATGTAAGTGCTTGCAGAATTAGGACTGTCTCCTGTAATATTTCACAGCTGTTTTCTGGAAAAATCTTTGGTCCTCATTGACCTAATGCAGTAATTAAATTGAAATGGATGATCTTTTTAAAATTAAATAAAACGGAGTATTATGGAACATTGTTTTATGGTGCACCCAAGAACCCCACAGATTAAAAACAATTTATTCTGTTGGGAATTGTGACTGAATCTCACTAAAACCCTATTAAATGCCGAGGATTTTCAGGCACATAGGAGGCTTTTGTTTCTGTTTATCCGCACACGTCTGCCACCTTTTAAAATTGTTGCTTTTACAATGTGCAGAGTGAAGTGACCTACTGTCCTTGTCCACCTTAAAAACTAACAGAAACCAGGTGGTTTAAGTTCAGAGAGGAAACTCAAAGGATTCTGTTGCAAGTGATACATGGCAATAAATTAGAAACAACTGGATCCAGACAAAAGACTAATAAAAAACAAAACTTTGGATTTGATATCATATAATAAACTGATAAAGAATGTATTTGCTTAAGATGAATTTCACAACAAATATGTTAATAAAAGGAATTACAACTGGCAATCTGTGGTTTACTCAGTGCTGAATATTCTAGACTTTTAAATAGTTTCTTAATCTCTTTCTCATTTGAAAAACTTCAGGGATTCAAGCATTGTTCTTGCAGCTGATAAGTTTTGTGCAAGTCAGAGAAGGATCTCTTTATATCCATTTACATTTCTATACTAACTAGCATATCCATATGTCAGCATGTAAGATATAAAATAGAGATCTCCATCTTCATGAAAGTCAGACTTCAGATGAGTTATCAGTTGCAAAGTTGAATTACAAGTTGCATAGGACATAAGGCTAGCTTCTACCAGCCTTACACAAATTCTAACAGAAGACCAGTTTAAGTATGTGTGTTGGTATAAAAGAATGTTGGTGATTTGGATAATTTTAATATATAAACATCTCCACTATAAAAGGGAGATGATTCCACATTGTAGAGTACTGGATTGTGCAGGATCCTCTGGGGAGCATATGAAGCATGGATTCAAAATGGCAAGAGGTGTCTTTGAACTGGCCTGTTACCTTTTAAAAATGTCCAGTTTTGCCTTTTTATACAAAGGCACATATTTTATGCTTCCATGTATGTATGTTCAAATCCCCGATGAAAACAAAACACCACCTTTTAAGAGAGGGCACTCCCTTTTTTCATGGTGCAATTTCAAAAATAGGTTTTGAAGCCAATTGACAACATTAGGGGTCATATTATGAATTGCTTACAAGGGCAAAACTCCCATTGATGTAATTTTAATATCAGGATGTTTATCTTCAAGAAGAATTCCCCGAACAGCTGCCTTTTATACACTCTTTTTCAAGTTAAAAAAACCCAAACCTTTCTTCCTATCCACCTCTGAATTGCTTTCAAACAAAGAAAGTAGATATTTTTAATACACCCCAGAAAATAGGAGGCTGCCTGATGTGAAATGAAGAAAACATTGTGAGTGCCCTGACTAGGGAACACACATGCCTCAGATCTCATTGCTTTGTGCAGTTCTGAAAGCTGCTCAAATACCACAATGATGGGCAGAGGCATGGGAACCTAAATAAAATAGAATATACAAATCCTCAGCTAAATTTCCTGGAGCCTTTGAATGTCTAGACACAGTTTAAAGAGGTTAACATTTTCTGTCATACACTTAGGCAGATTATCATATTCCTACATTTTCAGTTCCTATTTTGGTTCTGTGGAATCACTATTAAGAATCATTACTGAATAATAAATAATACAGGGAAATTGAATAACTTCTTGGAAATCTATCCCTGTATATTCTGTACTTTCTGATGAGAGAGCAGCATAAACTGAAACTAGATAACTTTTAAATCCTCCAGACATGCATGCTCATTCTTAGGAATTGCCAGAAGTGGCTAAATAAATTACAGCAAACCCTCCTCAAATGAGAACTGTTTTTTCTACCATTTGAAGTCAATCTGTCTCTTACAAATCTAAATAAATAGCAGGTGTGGGTCTCAATGAAAGAAAAACAGTTCAAAAGTTTGAATCTGATTCACATACCACTGGGTAGGCTGGAATCTAAGGCTTGAATTTAATATGCCCATGTAAGGCATTTCCTGATCCAGAATGTGTAGACAGAGGACTGCAGAAGGAAGAAGTCAGCTCTGTAGCTAAAGAATGCAAGAGGATTTGAAATGTTTCTTTAATGTAAAACAGATTCTTAACAATAATAATCCGGGGGATGGGACATTTAGAAGTAGGTCAATGTTTTTCACAGTCTTACTAGTTATCTGTCTCTTTATCATTCAACAAGCAACAATAAAACTGGAAATGTGGAACTAATAATTCTACAGATTCATGGAATAAAGTGCAGGTATATATAGGCCCTGATTCTGCAATAGAATCTTTGACACATCAATGAAGTTTCTCCAGCTTGCACCCGGACTGGCACCAAATATTTGCAAGTACAATGTCAGTACTTGTCTGTGAGAAGAATATTTGCCTAAACAAAAAACTATAACAGCCTGCATCTCTTTTGCTGCTTACAAACTTACTAGTAAATGAATATTTGTTGGAATGTTCACATGTCCTATGTATGTTTACAAATAGCAAAGCATTGTGTTCCCCTTCCACATACAGTAAATTGGTGATGGGGAAGAGCTTTGTGGAGTTTCTGGTTCTTTTTCTTTGCCAGATTATGAATACTTACAGAAAATGATCTTGAAAATTATAAAGATAAATATCTATACTGAAAGCTAGATCCTGGAATTTATATTTTTCTAGTCAGGAACAGAAACATGTGACATAAGTGTGCATACAAAGGTAAATCACACTGCCCACACTTTTTTAAATATTGACTACAATTAAATTTGTGAAAAAATTCTGTAATCCAATAATAAACATGTCTGAAAGTCTCTCTGGTTGGGTACAGAAAGTGCTTTCTAGGTTGTATGGTACTGAAAGAATGAAACTGTTCCTAGAAGGAGACATTGTGTGGCCATGAGTCTTTCCTGGGTCTCCTCCATTTGGAGGAGAATATGACCAGGCAGTTGACCTGTAATTGAGAGGGAAACCAAGGCAGCATCAGATGAAAATAGACTAAGTATATGGCACTGAAGAATGAATGTTTGAAATGTTTATTTGGTCTAGTTAGGAGACTCTCCCATAAAATATGAGGTTAGATTTAAAAGTAATAAAACCCGATCACTTTCAGTATTGCCAAAACTGTACAGAAAAAAATAGAAAATTGGGGGAGTTTCAAAAAATGTGATCATCTAAAGAAATAAGCATTCTCCATATGTTTGTGAGGGGTGAGAGCTGTTAGCAATTTTGATTTAGTGCAAGGTAGAAACACATTTCCATGCTCCTGAAGCCCAATCAGTGAGATGATCAGCTATTTAGCTAATTCTCTTTTGTTGCTCAACTGCTGCAAGGAAATAGCCAGTGGGTGGGAGACCAGCTGAAATGAGTCACAAATGGCCAGTCAGTCAGAGAAATGTAGTCAAGCGGAGTGAAGGACCTTGGTTCACTCGCTGGAAAATGTCAACACAAACTATGAGGTATTGACTAAATAAAATGTCAGTGCAACACTGCAAAGTACAGTTGCCCATGCTCTTCATAATGTGCCATAAAAGGTAAGGAATATCTGAGAACTTGGCAGGATAAGAAGAAAAGTGCATCTGATAAGGGAGGAGTGTGGGGAAAATGTTTTTATTAGGGTGACTTTGGGTGGACCTCATTATTTGTTAAGGCTGAAGCCATAGATGAATGATCCCAAATGAGGGAAATTCAAGATGAGTATTATCTCACCCCTTCCTGTGATCTGAAACTTATGTTTCTAGCTTTGCATTTCTGAAGAGGAGCATAAGAAATATTTATCTGCCTGGTCAATATATTTTTTTTAAAAAGATGGTGCTTCATTTGGGAGATAGGTTTTGTTTTATTCAGTGATTTGGAACTTTGGAGATAGTCCCACTTAAAATAGGAGTCAGAGTGTAGGTGAAGTCATCACTGTTACCTGACAAACATAATTTATCACATGCCTCTGCAGTTTTTCATGTGGATGTCACCATATCTGTGATAGTATTTCTCTATGATCACTAGTATAGGGATGGATGTGTTTTGAGATTCTGGATCTAGTGGGTTTTTTGGTTGTACTTAGCCCTATAAAATACTTGTTTTTTTTTTTTTATACATGTTTACTATTGCAGCTAATATGACTTAAAGCATTCATACTGAGAGCACAGTATATAGCAGTGTGTATGGTAAGAATTGCACAGCATCACAAATTGTTCCATAACACTTTTTATGCTTGCTTTGAATCCACAAGGTCAGAACATTCAGCATTGTTCTACTATCAAAGAGAAATAAGATTTTGTTCTCTTTTGGAAACTTGCTCACAGATTTTGTTTTCATTGCAGGCAGTTCAAAACAGTGTAACTTGCGAAGTAAAGATGAAATATATTTTGCAGTTTTTAAAAAAAGCTCTCTCTAGAGACCCAGAGGCACCTCACAAATCTAGTTGTGTACATCAGCACTCCCAACAACAACCATTTGCACAGCAGTCAAGGCCATTCTTGTCTGTATCCTCAGCTGTAAATGATCACACTCTACAGCAGGAAGACTGCTATTTTTTTCTGATCTTTTTTATGAATTCTGTGCATCTTCCCCCATTTCCCCTTCAAGTCTTAGAAGATTATTATTGTTTATTTTGGTAGCATCTAGAAGCCCCAATAATCACTGAGGCTCTGTGCTGCACATTGTATGAGAGAAGAACATGTTGATAAGAACATATGATCTAGTGTTCTGAGCTCAAGACTGGGGTCTAGAAACTCCTGAATTCTAATCCTCTGTCTAACCCCAATATATGCTGGTCTTTGGTAAATTATTTAGGGCCTTACCCTGTCTGTGTTGTTGAAGTGAATAAGAGTTTTCTCTTGATTTCAGTAAGAGCTGGATTTGACACCAAATCACTGTGTCTCAATAGTCCCAATTGTGTTTAAAAAAGGGGGGGGGCTAATATTAGCCCCTCAAGAAAGTTGACTATTAATATTTAGTGCTTTGAAGATAAAAGTACCAAGGTGGTTTTTTTTTTTTTTTTTTTTTTTGTAATGAATTCAGGATGGTTGGGATTGGCGAATGACTGTTCTGTGATTGCTATCATGTCACCTTTTCTTGTAATTAGCTGACTCTTTAGCATAGGGTTTTGCTCTGATATTCATCTTTAACTGCTGCTGAAATCTTCAGGTATACTGGTAGCCTGCACCTCTAACTGCTGCAGGATGCATCAGAAATACAATGACTTTGCACTGACTTCTGTGGACTATAAATAAAATACAGGGCAGCACAGACACTAAAATGGAGGACCAGCAGGGAAGACTTAAATACACAATTGCTGTTTGGGTTTGATGTAAGCTTTCTCTAGGCCTGTGCTATGGAGCTGGTGAGAGAGAGAGCTACTGAAAAACACATAGAATATGAGCTATTCTGTAATGTGCATATTTGCGCTGAAAAACTCATTTTTAGACAATTCCTCTGGCCTCCTGAAGTTCAGGTAAAGTTTATGTGTCTGGATCATAGTATATATAAATTCTAACAGAGGAAAAACCACACATTCTTCTTATTTGCAGTGTAATGAAGACATTCCACTCTGTTTTGGTACAATTATATTGTCAAATGGAGGACTGTTCAAGTAATTAGTAACATAATTAGGAAAGCTTTTTCTGCTTGCTCTGCCTTCATTTGAAATACAATCCTTATTTCTAATGTTCTTTAGAGCAGGGCAGATTTCTTAAAGAAGAAAAGCTTTAATGAACGGGGGAGCCATGGGAATCTAATACATTATATTTTTATAACTGCCTCAGACAGGCTTAATTTGCCATCTTTAGCAAATAAAAGCCAGGTTACAAAGGAAGATACATTTTGTGATTGTATCTTTTTTCTTTTCCCACCGAGGACTTGCTGTTTCCGAGGCCTGGTTCATGTCCTTACTCACTGACAAATGTTACATCAGGCATACTTCTTGGGGGGAGGGAGAAATCTCCTCTGGAGTTATACTGGTATGACTGGAGAGTTTTGAAATAAGCAGACAGACTCGGAGTGAAAACACTCGTTGCACCAAGAAATTCTTTGGCAATTTCTTAACTCTGGCATAATATAATACTTAACTTTAATATATAGACTTTGATAACTGTATTTTTGGTATGAAGGCTATCTAGAGCTACTGATGACCCAAATGATGATAGGACTTGGGGTCAGAAATGAGAGAGTTTACAGATGGGTACATCTCCAACAAAGAACAGATGCAATATTTTGTTGTACATGGAAGAAACATGACTACATAAGCCATTTTTAAACATATTTGCCATGGATTTGGAAGCATAGGATTCAACTGCCGAGTGCCGGGTACTCCCAGGGAAAAGTTAGGCATACAACTCCAATCAGATTTGAGGGTATTATTTACTTGATCTTGGAGGATTGTGACTGTAGGGCATCTCCAGTATGATGTTGAGAATCTTCATTTCCCAGTGAAAACAATTAAGGGTCTCAGTCATACAGTTTGCTAAGGGGTTCATGAAAGGGCTAAAGCACCTTACTTTACTTGAAGAGTGACATGCTTGAAGTAGTGTTCATTAAGTCAATGACTTAACTCAGGGAGAAAGGTATTACTTAATCCAGGTAATGGTAGCAGAATCTGGCTCAAGATCATGCCCCATATTGAGAAGTTATTGATTTGTGAAGGAGTGTAAGGAGGTGTCCTTTGTATGCTCTACTCACAGTTCCAAACCTTTGCCTTATGTTGGGCTAGAACAAGGTCCAGTTTCTTTTTGTAAATTAAATAGCCACCCCAAAGCCTGATGGCAGGTTAAAGAAATGCTCTTTCAGGACATAATTCAGCAATGTACTTAAGCATGTGCCTAAACTCAAACACTTCAATAGCACTACTGCTGTCATGCTTAAAGCTAGGCATATGCTTAAGTGCATTGCTAAATTGGAATTTCAGTCTGTTCTGCTAGATCTAGAAAGTCTTTAAGCTTACATTTAGGCCTGGTAAATTATTGCTTTGAAGAGAGTGCTTAATTTTGTCTCTTACTATTTTTAAGTGGGGAAAAAGCCTCTTAAATGTATTGATGGTAATATGGCAAATGATTGTTTTTGAAAATGCAAGAAAAAACAACAATCCTACCTGTATTTTACAGTATCCTGCAGACATTTTATGTAACAGCTTATCATAACTTTTTATTGTCTTCTACCTCTTATCAGGACAAGCAGATTCATCATTTTCATGTTTTTCTCCATGTATAAGAGGTGTGAGTTAGGAGAGGACAATTTTTTCCACAATGGCAACTAGATTTATCGCTTTAATAGATTGTGTTGAGATCCATTGCAGATGAGAGCCATGTTTACCTGAACACACATTTGTTGGTGAATTTCCTCTTAAACTCCTTTTGACAAATGTGGCTTCAGAACAGAAGAAATAGTCTTCGAGGTAATTTTTCTGTTAAATATGGATTAGCTGTAGTATCTGATATGCAAGAATGCTGTACATTTTGTATTGCATCTCTTTACTCAAGTACAGACAGGTAAATTATCATAAAGACACAACTCCCACTACGGTATATGAATTCATGTTTGGTGCATTCAGCTTCTGACCGATATTTCAATCCCTGTCATAAATAGAACTAGTAAAAATTATCTGTACCTAATATTTTTCTTTAAAACATTCCTTTCTTAAAATCAGATATTTCACACACAACCCCCAATTTCAATAAAATTTCATTTAAGAAGTATGAAAGTAAAGTTGCAGTTTTGTCTTTATTTGAATTGAAATTTTCATGATCTGTGTTTGGAAAAACAAAATCTAAATGCAAACTTGAGATTAAACAATGTTTTGCTGTGTTCTATAATATCTTTGTCAATTTTATTTTAATGTTCCAGGAAAATAAGTAATACAACTTTCTTGGAAACATTTCACAAATACAAAATAGGATTTTATATTGTTTTTATTTAAGTGCCAACAAAGGAACTGAGTCCATCTGAAAATCTAGCCCACAATGCTTCAAACATTGGTTTTTCTTATTATATATTCGGTAAATTACATAGCAATTGAGGCAATTTGCAATACATCAGCCAAAAATGTAATGCTGACTACTCAGGTAGGTTTCATAATCTTTAACAATATCCAAAAGCTTTAGTGTTTACTTAGTTCTTGCATTGCAAGGCTGCCATTTAGGTAGTGTGTCCAGCCTCGTAGAATAAATATTGGCATAAGCCACCCATGGGAGTACAGGCACAGACACAAGCAACCAACTTGCTCCCTCAGGGAGGTCTGCAGCTGTGTGTGGTATGAGTCCTCTAACAGAAAACTTACATGGCATCACTGCTTCTATTTTACTGCAATCCGTGTTTCTTTCAATTGATAATTAGCTATAGTGATGCAACTTTCTAGACCAGTTTAGAAAAATAAGTTGCCTTCTTGGGGGGGAAGAGAGGGTTGAAGAAGGTCCTCAACTTACACAAACAAGATTGGGGCTTGAGAGCTAATCAAGCTAGATAGCGTTAGTCATCTGATATGTCAGTATTAGGTGCCCATATAGCTTCAGCATGCTGCTGGACATCTTATTCCTGTTGCACT